TAACTTTAGAAAAAATTTATCATTTCTTGAATATTAATTACGAAAAATATTATTATTTAACAATATTAAATTATATTTTTTTTATTATCCTTTATCAATTTTATTCTTTCGATATAATTATATGACATCACTATAATTGTATATATAATTTTTATTCAGCTATTGTAATCTAAGAAGTTGAGTGATCTTTTTTTCATTTGCATATCATTATCAAATCATTTCTTTTATATATATGTGTCATTTAACGAAATGTATATCTTTATATGTTTAAAGTCACTCAAGACAGTTAGAATATGCAGTTGAAATTCATATGTCGTCGAATTCACTTCGTTCATATTAGTTAAAGCATTATAATATTTTATAATATATAAGTAAGTATGTTATAATAATATTATATTTTTCTTATTAAAATTGATATCTTTTTTATTATTTAAATTGATAAAATTAAAGATGTGAATTCAAATAGCAAAATTATAATAAAGTTCAAATAATGTTTGATTATTTTGCTTAATTCTTTCACTACGGGCTTCTTCACCACATGTGTACAGTACTCGAGAAAGATCATCGCCGCGTTTACGCCTCTCAATTCGAGTTGCTTTGACAGTGTTTATTGAAAAAAAATTGATGATAAAAACAAAATATTGATGCTACATTTCTAGAGAAAAATACTCGATATATATAATAACTCCAATTGCTCGTCATATCGTACAATACGCGGCATCTTTTGCAGAGCAACTATAGTCGCCCGTAATATCTCAGTGGCATCTTATGCAGAGCGATTGTAGTTGTTCGTAGTAGCGAAAGGGTTAAAATTAATCGTTAAAAAATAATATATTATTATATAAATATAATATATAAATTGAAAAATAGATACTTTTTGTTTTAAAAATTACAATTATTTAAAATTTTTATATATATATTTTTTATTATTGTTCATAACTTATTATTTTTGATAATTATCAAATTTTTATTTAATAAACAAAAAGATATATTTATTGAAACTAAATAGAAAATATAATTATTGATATATCATTTTATAGATATTTATATTACATTTTATATTCATTATTAATATTCTATTAAATTATATAATAAATTATAATAAATATTTCAATAAATATTCTTTGTTTTATAATTTTTTCTAATATCCAATATATTATTAAAGATTTTATTCAATTTTTTCAAATAATTATTGTACTCAATTACATATTATTATATATTACAGAATTTTATATATAATAAATTATCAAGATGTCTTTAGGAAGCAACGAATATATAAAAGATATTATAGATTTTACTGAACCAACGAAAAATGAAAAAAGTGAAATAATTACATTTTTTGCTCACACTAATATTTTAATAACAGGAGCAACAGGATTTCTGGGAAGTTTACTCATTGAAAAATTACTCAGGTATTGTAATTATATTATATTAAATTGAAATAATTTTTTAAATATTTGAATTTTTTAATATTTAAATGAAAGTATTAGTGATGATTTTTAATATATTTTAATTTATTAATATATTTATTACTTATTTTCATTTAAAATAGTCAAAAATGTAAAAATATAAATATAAAATTAATCATTTATGTTGCTTAATTTATATTTGGATAATTTTAAAAATTATATTTTTTAAGTGTTATTATCAATTTCTAAATAGTCATTTAAAATTGTTATTATTTAATATAATAATATATTATATTATATATACATATATATAAATTATAAATACAGTTAATTACATAAAATTAATTTTTAATATAATTTTTAAAATTAATTTTATTTTTTTAATAATAATTATAATATTTATTATATTGTTGTAATATTAATTACAATAATAATATTATATTATAGTTGTAATAATATTATATTGTTGTAATAAATGCTATAATTTAATGATTTATACATTATCATATAAATAAAATTGTTAAATAAAATTGTTTCATATAATAAATTCATAATATATATCTTATATCTCATAATAAATTTATAAAATATATTTATAAAATACTTATATTATATTTATATCATATTATAGAAGTTGTCCGGATATTGCAAAAATATACATAATAGTAAGATCGAAAAAAGGAAAAACTGCTTTGGAACGATTTCATAAAATTTTTGAAGAAGTAGTAAGTAAAATAAGAATTTTGACAATAACTGAATGATAATAAATTTTAATTATTTTTATTAGATATATGACAAATTAAGACATAAGCAAAAAAATTTTATGGAAAAAATCGTAATGTTAGAAGGTGATGCGACAAAAGAAGATTATGGACTGTCATCGGAAGATAAAAATGTTTTAATGAATGTAAACATTATTTTTCATGTGGCTGCAACCGTCCGATTCCAAGAAAAATTTCGTACTGCAATAAATATTAATGTTAAAAGTACAAAATTTTTATTGAAATTTGCACAAAAACTTCCAAATTTCAAAGTATATTCAATATTTTTCGTTATTTGAGATATCTATTTTATTGTGTATAAATAATAGTTGAAAAAAAATTCTATTTACAGGTTTTCGTGCATGTATCTACTGCATTTGCACCTTGTACAGAAAATATTATTGATGAGAAACACTACAAAAAAACTATAGATGCAGATAAAGCCTTAGAATTATTAGATATATTTGATGATAAAAAACTTGAACAAATTACACCCATGTATGTATTGTCTTAATTATATTTTTTAATAAAAATAATTATAAAAAACTTTATATTTTCTTTACTTTTTACAGATTACTTGATAAATGGCCAAATATATATATTTATTCTAAGGCATTAGGTGAAAATATGATACTGAAATATAGTGGTAATCTTCCAGTTTGTATTGTACGACCTAGTATTGTTACAACAACTTTTAATGAGCCACTTTCTGGATGGATAAACAATGTATATGGAGTTACAGGTATAATAATAGGAAGTGCAATAGGTTTGTTACGTACATTACCTTGTAAATCAGAGAATGTGGCTGAAGTTATACCAGCAGATTATGTTATTTCTAATATTATTTGTTCTGCTTGGGATACAGTGAATAGGTAAATTTTAATTATAATTTCTTATTAATTATAAAGCTAAATGATTTTAAATATCAAATAATATTGTTTCATAAAATGAAAAGAAATCAACAATCTATCAATTAAATTAAAAAAATTATAAATATGAATCATATTGATTGATATTTGAATTAATAAAGAATTATATGAAAGTATAATAAAAATATAAATAAACAAGTAATAATTATTAATTTTATAGAAAACTTGCAATAAAACCAGATCAAGTTCTTAATCTTTCTGATGAAGAAAGAATACCAATTTATAATTGTGTATCTTCTTGTCAAAATCAAATTTCATGGGCTGAATTGATGAAAATAAATGAAATTCATGGAAGTGAAATACCTACTCACAAATCTATTTGGTATTATAGTCTTACATTGAACAGACATTTATTTATATATAAAATTTATATTTTTTTTCTTCATATAATACCAGCACTTATTGTTGACATAGTGACTTATCTCATTGGTCGGAAACCTATGTATGTATCTCATATAAAAAGTATAAACTTTGATAGTAAATATTATAATATGCTATAATTGTGTATTAATTAATAATAAAAGTTAAAATATATATTTTCAGATTATTAAATACATATAAAAAAATACATAAATTTAGCAATGTAATATATTACTTTTCAATAAATGATTGGAAATTTCAAAATAAAAATGTTATAAATCTTTGGCAAAAAATGAATTCTACAGATCAAGAAATTTTTTGCTTCAATATAGAAATGCTAGATTGGAATGAATACTTTTATCAAGGACTGAGAGGTCTTCGTTATTATATATTAAATGATCCAATGGATACACTAGATTCGGCAAAAAGAAAATATAAAAAGTATATTTGATTTTAAATTTTATTAAACTTATTGATAAAATATGATTGATAAAATATATTTCTTTTCAATGTTATAGATTACGGATTGCATACTATACACTTAACATGGCACTAATACTTTTACTTTTATGGATTGCATTTTCATTCATAAATTTTCTTTGGTCTTTTTGTCCTTTATCACATTAATATTTATCAATAGGGACATTATAATTTTTTTTATATAAATCACATTCAAATAATTGCTTATTATTACACGTACTTATAAGAAATAGTTGAAATTTTCGTTAAAATGATAATAGATGTCGCCATTATGACGATATTATCAATTTCGTTTCATTATAAGAATAATAGATGTCATCACCATGACTATTTTTGAAATAAAATTACTTTAACGTTTATTTATAAATTTTCAAATTTGTAAATAAGAAAATATTTATATATTTATATTTAAAAAAAATATAAAAATATTAATATTGTTATTATTTTATTTATAATTTATGATTAGAATTAAACTGAAAATTATGTAAATTATATAAAATGATTACATATTTGTGTATATGATTTGAAATTATAAAAATACAAAAATTTTTCATGTTATTTATGATTTATTTTTATTGTTTTTTTAATTTTATATTTATAATTTATTTTTAATATTTTATTTTACAATTTTTATAAATACTTAATCAAGTATCTTAGATTCAGTATCTATCGATTTTCAATTATTAATTTGTCTATATTATTATTTTAAATAAAATTGTAAATATAAAAAGATTATAATTTTTAAAAAATTTTTCTATATAATTTATCTATATATCATATATGTATCATATATGTATATAAAAAATATAAGTGCTACTTTAAAGTATTAAATGTCAATTATATTTATAATTTTATGTGAAATATCTATAATATTATTAAATAAATTTATTAAAAAAGATTTTAAACGATATTATTTTAATATTTTAATAAAAAAATTAGAATTTAAATATTTACCGAGTATTTGTAAATTTTATATGTCAAATTGAAATTTGTCAATTTGTATTGTATATATGTCAACTTTATATTAAAATTGAAATTTTAAAAAAAATATCACGAAGAAATAATCATGAAAATGAAATTCATATGTAGGAATTTATAACCACGTTGTTAATAGATAATTAAAATCCTTATTATATACAAATCGATTGAATATATACAAATATATTATATTTATTATATCTGATTTCTCTCATTTATTAATATAATACAATTTCACAAATTGCTTTTTCTAAATATTTTTTATAAATTTATATCAAATAATATTAATTTATAAATTTGAATCAGATAAAAATTAAATTAGAAGAAATAATATTATATTTTATTTGTATTTTTTTTTTTAGAAAATATTAATATTTAATCATTTTATCTAGGATTCATGAGATTCAACATAAATTAATTTGTTATCAATTCATAATTGATGAGTACGAAAGTATTAATAATACGATTAAGATTAAATAAAAATTACTTCCAACATTAACTATAGGTCGAAGGGCTAGCTATAGATCGACGAAAGAAGCGAGTAAAGTTGCGCGCCATCATCGTACATCGAGCATCGGAGCGTAGTGTGATACGGGGATGGAGGCCGCGCGAGCAGGCAAACGACTCGAGGGAACAGAGTCGAGGATCGAGAACCAACCGACAACTCAGGAAGGCAGTGCACGCCCGACTGCCGACACGAGCGGATGGCGTACGTTGTCGCTCGCGCCACGATTACCTCGTGATTTTTCTTTCTGTCAGATACGGTCACCGTCATCGATCTTGTGACGAGTCGCACAGTATTTTCAGTCATCTATTGCGACTTCACACAGTCGGACACTTCAGGTTTGTTAGTGACATTGCGTGCCGCGCTTCGATCACGAGATAGAAAGAACAAGAAAAATAATAAAAGGAAATAAAGAAACAGAGAAGACGAAAGATATTTGTTTTCTTTCGATATTCATTTCTATCGGATTTCATCATCGTTTTGTTTTTGTCATCCACGGACATATCGCATACCGCGCACGTAACCTTTAAACCACGTGTGTGCGCACGCACGCACGATTTCAACGACGCACTTACACGTTATCAGGTCTGGGCGCTGGCGTATGGGGCGCCCTCCAAAAGTCGCGCATGCAACCCTACCGGAGCCCGCTGACGTTGGTTACCATAGTAGCGCGCGTGCCGATCAGCTGATCGTTGGGATTCGAGCGTGTTCGACCGTCGGCAGTCGGCCAGCAGCGGCTCCGTCCACCCGTTTTATGCGTTATCTTCCCAAACGTTCGCGCAACTTGATCGCCTTTCGCGTCGTGATTTAGTGATGAAAATAACTAACTATTTCGCGAACATCTGACAACGCAGATTCCGAAGAAAAATTAAGAAATAAAACAAATTGAATAGAAAATTGATTTTACTCATCGCTTGTATTATCCACCTATTCGTTTTTATCGATGTTCGAAAGATACACTGTTACAATTTATTACCCAATCGATCGATACATGTTCAGATGATGGAGTCAAACACGATTTCAGATAAATAAGTGTTGAACAAAGTGTATTATTTCAATAATCCATGGTATGTGTATTTTTGTGATAAAAAAAAAAAATCAATAGCATTTTTGTTAATCATTGTGCACAGATTGATCGAGACACATTATGACTATTGAGATCTTGTGATTTACATCACGTATTTTAAATACCGTCCAAAAATGAAATTTAATGGAAATATATGTAGTGGATTAGTGGATAAATATTTATTATCATGCTCTTTTGTTGTAAAATATCTCGAATGAAATATCGAACCACTTTTGTTGTCAAATATTTACGAGATATATTTAAATTATATTGAACAAAAAGCAATATTATTAATGCTAAATAGGAGATGGTGGATAAATAATATATTAACATAAATACTATATTATATAATTTTTCGAAACAACATTTTAATATCAGATGATTTTACGAATATGATTGACATTTGGTGACCATTTATGACATGATACAAAATAAACGAAGCAAACTTACGAAAAAACGATCGCTCATTGAAATAAATATATTGCAAAATTATAAAGAATATTTTATATTCATTGTTTATTATATTATCAACGGTTAATTTGCAAACGAAACAAAATTCAATTGCTCAAATTAAATCGATAGTGTTTTGGAATACACTTGCACTGTGAAGATGAAACATAATCGTTCCAAATCGATTGATCAAAAGATGATGTCATAGCGTATCTTCGAAAAAATATCGATATATCGATATTGTTTCGTGTCAGATGTCGCTAGACTATCGCGATGGCCGCGGAATCTTCGTCAGTACGAAATCGCGTCGAAAGAACGAATTGTGAATTGAAAAATAGTGATCGTAGTGATTGATAGTTTTTGTTGAAATAAAATTCGGACTTTTTTGGTAACGGGTTATCGCAGGATGTGAATGTTTCATTGTTATGAACATATTTTGACAATCGTTTGTACCTGTGACGATTCAATCGTGTGTACCTTGACTGCATTAATCAGACTTTTTGTGAATATGTGAAGTGACTGAGCTTTTTTTTCGTCGAACTTTCGTCAAAAGTGATTTTCATTTTGTTTGTCGTGATCGCAATTACATTATTATGTACCGATCGCAACAATGACAGTTCGAGATATTTTCTCGTTCACACGGAAATTCTGTGATAGCCGATGCCAGCAACGCCATTACTTGGATTAAGTCAAGTGTGAGGAGAACGCCGTTCCTGAAATCATCTTGATAGAAAGCTTGGTGAGTAAAATATATATATTTGCATTTACTGAAATTTCAATAAAAAAATTATAATAAAATATTGTTCATCTTACTATAATTTCTAAATATATATAAAT